TTTTTCGAGTATCTATCATTTACGATGTAGTTTCGAGTTGAGGATGTTCTCGTGGAATACTACCTACCTAGGAAGACACAAGATCCAGATAGGACTTCGAACCCACCTGCCCCTCCCGAACCCTATCTCGGTCCGAAGTCAAATCCCGTGGATACTAGATACTGTAGTTAGTTAGTTAGTGAGTAGACACCTATTTCTCAAATAAATCGATATCAGGTCGGAGCATATCACCCCAAGAGTGCAACGAAAAGCAAAAAAGAAAGAAAAAAAAGAAAGAAAAAATAGCGTCTCCACCAGGTCGGAATCAACTCCAGTCCCCCCTCTCTCTCTCTCCTCCGCTGGGCAAGGCTTGACGCTGGGGAGCCTGAGGAACTTCTCCGACTTTCAGGTCATTCACGAAAAACCCTGCCAATCAGAGGGCGAGAAAAACCAACAATTGGGTGGATCTGATGGTTATTAAATCATCTTTCTTTTCTACACAATATCTAACGACGTGATTTATCATGATGATTTTTTTTTTCTTATTACATTATTATTATTGTAAAGATATGATTGTTATTATTCAATTTCCCTCCTTGTTTTGGAGTGGAGTGAGTGTATCTCCGTATCCTCTATACTTCTATACGGTACGAGCCGACCTCCAATGTAAATGATCCTTAATCGAAGGACGCATGTCAGCAATTCAATACAGTCCATAATCTGACGTTTGTCAGAACATTCTAATCATCCCGAGATATGGAGGGCTAGGGGAAAAAAAAAAAAAAAAAAAAACCTGGTTGGTCAGATTACTTGATCCAGTATGGACGCCAGACAAGGCATACACGACAAAGCGCCGAGCGGGTTCGACAGCGGAGGGTCCACCGTTGGAGCAGTAAAGTTTGTCATTCTTCTGTTCTACTATTATCATCATACTATAATCACTCTCTTCATGGTGATACTGGTTTGAATTATATTACATTATGGTGGGATCTAAGAATTTATCCTGATCAAGTCCATAGTCCAGAATCCTGTAGAAATGGGTCCACGTTTCTTCATCTCCAAGTCGACAGGAAGACCTATCTCGTGGACTTCGCTGCATGATGATCCCCTCTAAATCCTTCTCTTTTGCTGGGGCGCTCTCATTGCCTCACCCAGTCCATGAATCAACGGTTTGAAGAAATCTGTAGTCTTGGGACGGTTTCGAATCTAACCGGCCATAGTCCCCAGACTCTAGACTAGAACACATGGCGGTGCGCCTCAGCCGCAGTATCAACCACGAGCTCGTGGTTATTTTTACGCATTCCTGCATGTGCTGGTAAAATTAGAAGACTCGATTGGAATGGAGGGTGGACACTGGACACTGGAATGGGGGGACAGACAGAATGGACGGCGGGGAAGACAATGGCTTTGGGGCAGCCTAAGGAACCAACTAACCAACATAGCCATGATTGATTTGCTTGGATGATCATCCTGCAGATTAGTCGCTAGTTGGATTCTTTTATATTTTTTATTTGGATTATTTGGATGGGATTATATTTATTAGATTATTTATTTAACTATTTATTTATATATCTTTTTTTTTTTTTAATATAGATTTAATTTCGTTTCCATTGGTGTACAATGTAGTCGATCCGACGCCCATTTGCTCCTTCACGCTCTCATCTCAACTCGCGCTCGTTCTATATCAATTCGCTCTGCTCGCATCATCGTCTTCCCCTTCAGCCCTTTACTGCCTCCATTCCGGCCCGTTTTACCTGTGCCGTTTCTTATCCGTCTGACTTGCAGCGAGGCTTTTTTCATCCTTCTTCTCTTCCTGATTCTTTTTTCTTTTTTTTTTTTTTAAATATCGTCATCCCCACTTACGATCATCCCCTTTTCCAACATCTACTCAGTCTAGTATATGTTGAGCGGGTCGTCTGCACACAATAATCACTATATATCCTTCAACTCCCTCAGCTCCATCCATACATCAGATTCATAATCATCCTTCTGATTCCTTCTCCCTTTCCTTCCCTTCCTTCCCTCACTCCTCCAACACAATGCCTCGCACCAGCACATATGCAAAGGAGGTCCCTCTCCCCGTCACCTACACCCCCACCACCCATCGCATCAGCAAGGCAAAGAAGGGCAAACGGGTCCATGCGTGTCAATATCCCGGCTGCGCCAAGGTCTTTACCCGAGCCGAACACAGGAGGTACGAACTATTCCTACCTCACAGTCCTTGCGCCACCACTTGGATTCGTGTAACTAACCCACGCGACAGACGGCATGAGTTGAACCACAACCCTGAAGCGTTGTTCGGCTGCACGCAGGATGGCTGCAAGAAGGCCTTTCACCGTCCGGACCTGCTCGCCCGCCACATGGAAAGACAGTGAGTCCGCCCACCCAAAACCCTTACATCCATCCCCAAACTAACCTGAAGCCCAGTGACCTGGAGACGCAACTGGACACCGCAAGCTGGGAACAACCCACCCACGCGCCTGTAGTCGACGTCCCCTTTGTGCCCACCAAGGAGACCAACGCCCAAGTGGAGACCGCCTCGCGGTACCTCGCCGTCACGAACTCCATGTCCATCGGGTCCCTCGTCGGACCCGCCATCCACCCCGACCTCCAAACCGACTACAGCATGATGTGGCCCAGCCAGGAGCATCATCTGCACGCCGACCCCCACCCCCCGATGTACCCCAGCCATCACGTCCACGAGTCCGTCGAGGAGCACCGCTTCTACGCCACCCCAGAGAGCTGCCCGTCGCCGTCCTCCGACGGAACCTCCCTGTCTATCCCATCGCATCCGCGCTCCTCGCTCTCCGCTACTCCCGTCACCGTCATCGACCACTACCCCGACACCAACGGCAACATCCTCGAGCCTACTCTGACCTCCTCGCCTATCCCCATGCACGCTACTCACATCCCCCACCACCACCATCAACCCCGCTGGGACGCCGAGCCCGCGCTGCCTCCCGTCCCGCTCAACGTCCACGACGCTATCATGCACCACCCCGTCGCCATGCCTTGCTCTTATCCTCCGCCTTCGTGGCCCTCTACCCACAACCTCAGCTACGACGACACGCCGCACTACTCGCACGAGATGCCGTGGAGGTCGTGGACGATGTAACCCTTTCTTCTCAATACGTCTGAATCCGGGATGACCAGTCCGTCTACATTCCACCAACATATACGATAGGACTAGTCGCAGGGATCACGATCGATTGATTGATCCTTTTTTTTTTTTTTTCTTTTTCTTTTTTCTTACTTTGTCATGTTTGTTTATGTCTGATTTATGTCCTGTTCCTTTGTATTTTGATGAAATCTTTCCTTTGTTACTCGCCAGGCGCATAAGTGGTGTTTGGTTTGGTGTGGTTGGCTGTTGGTTGTTGATTGTTTGGTTGGTCGGGTTTAACGAACTAACTACTCTCCTTTGTTGTCATGAGATCTGACACTCTATATACCCATGTTATGTTATTCTTTTTATCTTTTATTTTTTTTCCTTTCATCTTGTATGGTATATGCCTTTTTATGTATGTATCTATGTTAACTTTATACCTATTGTACAGTGTACATGTTTCGCTTGCTGGTTGAATAGGTTGTCGATGCATCAATCTGTAAACTATACTGTACACGTACATATTCAGCGAGATTACATTGGTGTCAATAATAATCCGGTGGATTATGTATGTCCAGATCTCTCAATTATCGGCGATACGGTACACATTATCTAGAGCGCACGGTAGGTACCTATACTATGCCATCGTTCGTACACCCGGTCTGACTGATTATATCCTGAGATGGCAGCGAATGAATGAACATTACCTAGGTAGATAAGCGGTAGTTTGTTCAGCACTGGCTTGTATAAGTGGGACTAGGTACGGTGATTAACGTTGTATGTTCTTATTTATTACATGGCATTCTCACTCGACATGGAAATAGACCAGACACGGGCAGAAATAAGATAAGGAGAATGTGCAGTACTTGAAACAGTCGTTGGCTTTTTCTCAGAACTACTGGTTCGCTCTAGTGTGTAAAAATAAGAATGGAATCTATGAGAATGTCCTTTTTATCTTGAAGATTAGTTGTTTACCTCCTGCTGTGGTAGAGCTATACTTTCGGAAATATATATACTACGGCAGGGAGTGCATCTCCTGCCTTAGCCTTAGGGCTAGGGTCACGTTATACTCTCGATAAGAGTAATTGAGTAGGATAAAACGAAATACAATCAAGAGAAAGTAGAAGAAGATATAAGAAAGAAGTTAATTACAGGATTATACGTCGGGGCCAAGTAGATTACTCTTCTTCCTTTCTTTCTTTTGTTTCCCCCTTTCCTTTTTGGTCTGCACGGCGTACACCTCATATGTAGGAACGAGCCTTCGCATACCATGATCATATCCATATCATGTAGCTACAAAGAGAATCAATATTAGATGTGGTAACTCCATAAGGTACAAGATAGAAGAGTTAAACAGATTGAAAGATTATATCTACAGTATATAGTATCACTTCGGCAGTCTTAAGTGCTTGATTGTATCACTTCATTCTTCCATATTTCGAAGAGATGATTGATAGATGTTGGGAAGTAGGAAGGTAGTCACTCTACCTGTTATCACTGACCAGTCACCTTGGGTTCATTCATCTTAGGCTAGGATAGAATCATAGTATACAAGAAGGGTTGCAGTAAGTAGATAGACCTGGCGAGCGGGCGTGGGAAGAGGATGATCAAGATAGAAGTGACCTTTTCAGAAGGAGAAGAGGGAAGATCAAGGGAAAAGAAATAGCATAAAAGCAAGATCAAAACGAATCGATCATATAAATAATTAAACTCAGCGCTTCTTGACTGGAAGCTTGCTCGAGTACTCACTCGGTGATTCTGTATCTTTGTGATCTTTATGAAGTTCTTATATAATTAATGCATGTAGTCAATGACAAGATCTTCTCATCGTACGCCTTTTTTGAATTAAGTTATTTGGATTATATTGATTATACCAGGCTAATCACCCTATTAATCAAATCATCTTATCTCCCACTTGTTGGATATATCCCATCAATCATATCTACCCATCCCTTCTTTCCATCTATCAAACTCTGGTGACCACACCACACGCACCATTCGCATCCCATCCCATACCATCGCCAAACCAATGAGACTCTGAATCTAGGAACAAGAAACCCTACACCCCGTCCCAATCCAATCCATTCCATTCCATCATCCTCATCCAACGATACACCAAGCATTCACCTAGTCAACGTATACAGGTAGGTAGGTAGGTAGGGAAGTAGGTACCAATATACCCACTCTCCCACTATCTTCTATTGTACCCCCTCACCTGATTCATATCATTACACGTATCATATCATATCATATCATATCAATCATGCCTATCATATCGATCATGAGACTGCTTAGACTTGCGGGTTATGCTATACTGTACTGTATTCTGTAAGGAGATCTAGGCTCTGAGATAGACGGGTGGGTATTGTGCGGTTTGAGACGGATGTTGTTGGTTTGTGGTCTGCGTCTATGGATTCCGGTGGACGGTGGAATGTGTAGATAAAATGGACGGGTGGATCAGTTTGAGATATATTATCGACTTCGACAGTTGATGTATTGTAGTGAATTATTTTATTAATGTGGTACCTCAGGCAACTGGTATCTTCATTCTTCACATTAACTACAGACCACATCGTCTAGGTACAGCCCCAGTCTAGGTAGGTACACAATCCCCAGAAAGTGTATATTAGGGGATGACGAGGAGCCGAGTCGAGCCACGATAGCAAGACACACAAAACAAGAGTGAAAGTTGACCAAAGGGATATCCTTCGTTCAGAATAAAACAGCAAAAAGGTATAAAAAATGACATACAAATAAAACCAAGTCAAGGAAAGAAAAGATCACGAGCGGTCGGAGATGGTCGAACAATGAACTCAGCTCCACTTCAACGCCTTTTGATAAATACAGTTCCGTCCCAGTTGAGCATGACTGTCCAGGGCCGCTCGACCGCTCATCGATGTACCTCCGACCGTCAAAAAACGACAGTATAGTAGAAGGATACCGGTGTGATGCAAGGCAGAGACAGGCAACGCTGAGGGCAGATAATACAACCGCACGATTAGAACCATGCGGCGGCCGCGTACGGCAGAAACCAAATAAATAAAGTAAATGCACGATGGTAACAAAAAGGTGAAATGACAGGTCGTAAAATGGAACGGCATGGGCACAATGCGATGCAGGGGCTAAGGGATCCGACATGCCACGGGCTGTGGGTAGCCGAAACGCCACTTAAAAACTCCATTAATGCATCACCGATCCATCGGGGTTTCTCACCTGCAGACACCGGTCAGCGCCCATAGTACCGAGTCTGATCCGCATCACCGTTCGTTACCTGCAAAATCCGCCGCGAGAAGTCCTGATCGTCGTCGATGCTGCCATTGCTCTGGCGTCGCTGGGCCATAAAGTCGCCGTCGAACCGCGAGTCGGACATGGAATTCTGCGACATGTGCTGGCCGTACTGGTCGACACCGGTCCCGCGATCGAACTGGGCTTGGTTGTTCTTTCGATTACGGAACCGCCAGAGGAAGAAGCCGGCCCCAATTAGGGCAAAGAAACCGACCACACCGACGACCACACCGGCGGCGATGGCTGCGGTGTTGGGACCGTCATCCTTGTCGGCTTCCTCCGTCGGTTCGGCCTCCGAGGTCTCGATGACTGTCTGTCCACCGGTCGCGGTGGAGTCCGAGTCCGTGGTGGAGGACGAACTGCTGGTCGAGGACTTGGAACCGTGGTAATCGACATTCTTCTTGGCTCCAGTCAAGTACACCGAGTAGGCATCCTTTCCACCGCCTTTTAAGCGTTAGCCGGCTTTCCACCGATGAAACCAAGGACGGGGGGGAGGGGTCATGACTTACACATCTTATCGGGCCAGCCAGAGCACTTGGTATTACACTTGTCTTCGTCCCCTTTGGAGGATTTCTCGGGCATTTCATCACCGCACATACAGTTGGAACCTTTCCACAAGGCGAAGACGGCGGCATCCTTTTTGAGACATTTTTCTTGGCAATACCCGTCACTCTGATATGTGTAGGGCCCTTCGTCGTCTAACCCGGTGGATTTGGTGAAGCAGCCTTTATACTCGGAAGCCTCAGCGGTGACTGCCGGGAGCGAGACGGACAGCAACAGGACGGAGGCGGCGATAGCCGATCGCATCGTGAAGGTCTTCATGGTGTGTTGGGAGGAGGAAGGCGGAAGGCGATACAATAGGGGGTGGTTTTTGTATGGGTCGTGACTGGACACCGGCTCCAGACACTGGTAGATATTTCAAACGAAGGATAAGGGACGACCTGCGTAACCCTTGGGGGAGCCCCACGACGATTTTCCTACGACCGTTTGTTGGGGACGTGTGGTCGCGACGTCGAGTCTGTCGCGATAGGACCTCGAAACGGATGGGTCTCGTCAGCGTATTCCCGACCGTCGGGTTCGACAAGAGCGGGTGATAGGACGAGAAGTCGACGAGGAGATCCTCTTGAAACGAGGAACGACCGGGACGATAGAGGGAATCAAAGACGTAGAGGGGCGAAAATCGAAGGGTGGTGGTGGATGTAGTTGATGGAAAAAGAGTGTGTTGGGTGGTACTGAAGAAAGACGGACCCTGGCGGGGAAGAGTCTGAAGAGCGGGTGTTTCAAGTCCCCCTTTCTCCCGGGAGAGATTTAATGAGCGTCCTAAGGCGAGAACCCGGACGATGTCTTCACAGTAACCGATTCAAACGGTTTGGCGGTAGATGGGGAATTTCCCAGGTATAATCTGAGAAGGTACGGAGTAGTGTGAAATGTAATCAGTCCAGAGACCCTCCGAGTAAAAATCAAATCAAATCAAATCAAATAAAAAAAAGAATGCGAGAGTCGAAGCGACGAAACGAGTGATTGATGGGGTGAGGGGAAGGAGGGTTCGAAGGGAAAACCAGGAATGACCGACAGCAGTTCGAGGGAGAGAGAGAAGGGGAGAGAAGGGGGAAAGAGAGAGAGCGAGAGAGACCGAGAGAGGAGAATACGGAATACAGAATACTAGTTGCAACGGCAGGAATACTAGATTGTTTGGAGGATGGAGTATGGGGGATTACGACGGACGGGCAAGCAATAACAAACAATGGGGGGAAACTTGGATCGGATGGGGAAGAACCCTGGTTCGTATTTTACTTCCCGTGTATCATCATGTATCACCTGGAAGTCTGTAAGTCTGTTTCCTGTTTGGGTTTACCCAGTACGGACTGAGTACTACCTCAATCTCAGTTCTTTCTCTCGTTTTCTTCTTTTACTTCTTTCTTCTTTGTTTCTTCGCATTGATATAACAACCTTATTCTATACTTGCTCGTGCTTACTCTTGATACATCTCCTCACTCACCATACATGATTACTGAGGATTAGAGTGCTGAGTTCAAACAGACAGATTACTCAAGGACCATGATCTGCCCTTTCGGGCCTGCAGTCCAATAATCACCGACCACCCAGCAGATCATGCCCCACGATGTCGCGCTCTATTACCTATCAGGGCAGTCTTTCATTCCGCCAAGTCCTCCGTCTCGTTTGTGTCCTGCTACTATCCTTTAATAGGGTTAGTCTCAGGTACACTCTTCCCTGCAGAATGGAGAGGGGCCAGCAGACGCCGTCATTCGAAATCATCCGACGTGGATATCAAAAGAAAGAAAATGACATACAAGATCAGGTAGAGATATCATCATCATCATCATCATCATCATCATCATCATCATCATCATCATTAATGTTATTTTCATTTATCATCTCATTAGGTAGAGTGCCTGGATACCCAGGTACCCAAAGTACGGGCATAACCCCGACGGTCTCCTGTCAGTTCATTTCTTTGATTTGCTGTCTGTATTTTTGTCTACCTCCGATGTGCAGGTGGCGCCCAATCACCATCCGCCGCGCTGATTGCAGTGGATCCCCTCGAGCCGTCTCCCACAAAAACACACACACCAATTTATTTATTCTTTTTCCAGGCTTATCCTTTTCTGTATCGAAGGATGGCGGCAAATGTCTGATGGATCTTTTGTGACGACAGCTGTCCCATTTTGCTGTTCGTCATCGTCATCACTCTCACGATCAGTCTTCCTATTTACTTGAGGTTTGTTTTTTGTTTTTTATTCTGTTTTTGCTTTTCACCCCTGGAAAATTTACACGGGACAGTCCCATGGGTTCAAACGGACGTTCCCGGGCGGTGGACCAGATCCCTACCTCTTTTCCCTGGGTGTGTCCTGGTTGGGTCGTGTAAATGAAAACAACCAGCTCAAAGAAAGAAAAAGGAGAGAAACAGTCTCAAAAACAGAAGAAAGAAAATATGGCAAAATCCAACAGGATCGAATACAATGTGACACCGAGGGAGAATCCAACCATACATAAGGGAGCGACAGAGACACACGTAACCCAACCTTACATCTGCAACCAACACTAATCCACTTTGACACGGGGCACGCGCCCCCGACCGATGATCACTGAAGGTGAAAGGGCAGACTGGACAGAGTGAGTCGCTCGTGTAATTTACCGGTTTGACTTTAGTCGTAAGGAGTTATGAACATTAATGCGGTTCCCTGGCTTGATGACTGGACAATTCTAGGAAGGATCGTGTTTATGCACGGCTATTCCGGCATCTTACCACCGCATCCACACTTAGTTTCTTTCTTTTTCTTCCATACCTACTTCATAGTCCATACTTCAGAGTATAGACTATGGAGTCCACAGTATGGGGTCCATACTCATCCAATTTCATACAGGTCTCCATCCAGCGGAAACGAACAATTCTAGAAAACACGCGTGGTGGAATAAGCTTATGACAGTGTTTCAGAACACGCCGCGCCTCGAACCTCGGGGCATGCAAGGGGAATGGACGGATGAACCTATGGATGGCATGACCGGGGGTGTGTTCAGCTCTCAAGGGCTGGCCGTTCCGGTTCATGTTCCTGTTCCTTACATGCAAACTCGGAGTTTGTACCAATGACCACAAGGAGGTGGTTTTCACTGAAACTTTCCACTTTCCAGTAATAACACGTTATCCACGGATACACGGGCAGACGTATCTGCCTGTATATCCAATCTCATCTGCCGGAAGACCGTTCCGCTTGTTATCCTGCCACATTGAGAATTCCACCGCCAGTTCCAACACCCAGACGCGCTGTCGCCTGTCGGAATACTAATCCCATATCCACAGCTGTCACCCGCCCACCGAGACAAACTCAGCAGGGATTGTCTGCGGACCCGTCTCCATTCAGTGGACACTGGAAGCGCTTGCGCCATCACGAGGATAGCCGCATCAGTACCTACGGATACTATCTGTGTATTGCGGACGGAAACCCGGCCGGTGAGAACCGAATACTGAATTGCTTTCCGGCTGTGTCGGGACTCGGAACTGTGGATTTTGAGGGCTCTGTTGTTGATGATGGCTTGGTGGGTTGGTTCGTGTATTATCTCCGTCCACTACTCCGTATCACTCGATATTATCCATGAAGTACGGATAGAGTAGATAACCAACTGAGTAATTCTATGGATAATTATGGATAAAATCAAGGGGTCAAATCCGTTTAAAAAAGAAATCCGCCGAGTAAAATATAAATAAATCGGATAATGGAGCGGCGACGATCTAGACCCCTGGACCGTCCCCACCTGTCAGTCAATGTTTTTTTTTTTATTGAGAGTTCAAAATTTGGCCTCGTTGTTCATACTTTGTCCTTTTTTTATCACCTTAGCATTAAAAATGCCCCGTTCAGTAGATAGAATGAGGTTCTCATTCATGTCCGATCGCTAAAAGTAGGCATCGCTTATAGTTGAGTTAATTGGTTACAGAGTCTGACACAGCAAACACCAACCACTCTGTCAGATTTCAAAAACAAGTCCCGCTTAGAAATCCAGAGATGGTGACTACCAAATTAGTTACTCATTAATCCAAGGAGATGATAAACAATGCCATTCAATGCAACACCCCGTCTATCCATTTAACCCACCCACCAATAGACATACAACCTGCAATTTGTTTCTCGTGCAGAACGCACGAGATATGCATCTACGCGCGTGGATTGATATATGTTTATTGTGTGTGTATGTATAAAGTTGAAAGCATCAGACAAGTCACAGTAGCCAGCCCCTATCCGATAGTTAGTTAAGCACTGAGGAGCACTGCTGATGCTGACGTTGACAATGCGCGTGGCTTGCTGACACCCCCACTCCACTTCTACGGGGTACTCGTGCTTGGCTGGTGGGCTGGCGGGCTGGAATGGGCTGGGCTGGGCTGGATTACCGGGGGTTTTTTCTTTTCGTGTCGGCACGAGGTGCTTATGGTTGGGGTTAATGGTGACAGGTCAGATGGGGACGGATGGTTTGGATGGAGGGGTTGTTGGGTCATATTTTATCTTTGTATAGGTATATATGTACGTAAGGTTGGAAGGCGAGATGGATGGGGGTATGGTAGGTAGTATTATATACTTTACAGATTGATTGTAGCATGTAGGGCTGAACATCCCTATCAATAAGGTAAAAGTATCAGGATGTCGCTGAATATTGTTAGTTTCATTGAGAAGAGGCTTGATAGGATGAGGCGAGTCTATGCAGTCACTCCTTGAACTGCTCTAACCCCGCCAGGAACATAGATGGTGCATATATATATAGCGGTGGCACAGAGAATTTCCTTGACTGACAATCGATGACCCTTCCAGCCTTGAGAATATATAATGGTTTCCAATACCAGGTCAGTTTACCGCAAGAGGTACTACTAAAAACCAAGATCCTCAGCACTGACACGTAGTGCTTCCATATCTTGATCAAGGTTTTGTTTTATTTGGCGAGACATGGGTTTCAGATCGACGACGAATTCAGGTGATGCTCGCGCTGTGTTTACGTCCTAGTTAAGAGTAATACTGTGTGGGTTGACCAGTTAGTTGACTATCTAAGTGGTGTGCTCGCATACTTCAAGGAAATAGGTGAGTCTCAAGAGAACATGACCATGGCTGGAGTGAGTTGAGTACAAAGATTTGACGGATGATTGCCGGGGGTGATTCAAAATGACGGATGTGTGATTTTATAAAGTGGCCAACGACTGGAATTGTAGTCTTCAAATTCCGGTGGTTGAGGGTAATCCGGAAGTGCAATTCATCTTGGAGCGATTATTGTCACCAGGGAAGAGGGCTCGAAATGGGGTATTCTATACGATTCTAGACAGAAAAGACATCTATCAACTTGTCTATTCCGTGATTCTATCAATCTAGGATGAAATATGTTTATGCGTGGTATTTTCAGGGCTGGTTATCCGGCCAGCGAACTTTTCTCACTTGCACAATGAATCATGTCTTTTCCAAAGGCACACTCGTCCATTTTTATGTCATCTCCAATATTTGCCCAGACCAGCTCAATCAATGCGATCAATTCATATCTGCATCCGCGGTATGTTGAATCCTCCACTCCGCTCTTATCAAGTTGCCCTTCTTATCCTATATATGCTCGTAAAACATCTATCAAGCAACCAAGGGTCGACAGGATCTGGGCAGCTCGTTCCAGTGCCTCACATTTAAGGCTTGGGGATGTGTATCGTCTTGCTGACCATCATGCAGCCGTGCAGGACGAACATCAGCACCACGGGGTGGAACTCAAACGACGTGCCGGCGGCGATCAGTCCCAGCGGCAGATCCTCCTGGATCCACCCTTGCGACACCCAGTAGGTCATCAGGAAGGAGATGGAGAGCGTGGTGGGGATCGGAGTGCCTTCAAAGTACTTCGACTTGCCGGTCTTGTCCTTGGGGAGCACGGCAACCGTCACGTTGAAGCGAGCTAACCGGGTGAGGCCGCAGAGAACGAAGAATGAGAGCAGGAGGTGGTCGACCGGGGTGCGAACGCCGAGCGCAAAGGCCGCGGCGGCGGGCGCCATTCCGAAGGAGATCTTCAGCAGCAAGAACCGTCAGTCACCCTCATGTATTCCATCACATGCCGTGTTTGCATCCACACTCGCATCGGGAATTATCTTACCAGATCCGCTAACGAGTCCAGCTCTTGTCCCATGAGAGACGACTTGCCCCTCCACCGGGCGATCTTGCCATCCATGAAGTCGAAAAACAGGCCGAAGGGCATGAACGCGAGAGCGGCCCAGATGGCACCGTATTCATTGGGATCGCCAAGACAGTATCGCATAGACGAGAGAACAGACATTACTAGACGTTGATAGTCAGTGACAGACTCATTTAGGTGGGCGACGTGAGTTGAGCGTTACCTCCGCAGAATCCTATCACATGTCAGCGGTTGGAACCAGAAAAAAAAAAGTAAATAAAAAGAGCAAGAACACGCCAGAACCAGGACACTCGACAACAACACATATCTTCTCCTTGAACCAAATCCCGAAAGAAAAGATGGAAAAGCCATAACGTACCATTGAGCTCAGTTACTAGATCTGCCAAATGTAAAGCCCTGCCCAGTTCATGTCCAGTCAGTGCCATATTCCAACGAGCTGTCGAACGATCGGGGCTTACTTGATCATGCTGAAGTGCCCAGTTTCTGAAGAGAGAAGCATCTTCTGTTTTTCCTGACCTGTGAACCGTAAGCATTGCACTCTTCCCCTCTATTTTTCTCCAGATAGTGTAGCTTACCGCCATCACCGGTTGGCGGGCCACCGCTATTCGCAGAAGCGCTCGAAGACATGGCCGATGTCCGACGAGACATGCTCAGACAGAAAGTAAATAGAAAAATATAATCCCTTCGAACAGATCACAGGGAAATTGGGGGTATCTCGACGTGGGTATATCAGGGGGAGAGTGGGAGAGGAGAAAGTGCGGAGAGAATGACGGGTGGTTGAAGGGAATGTTGAGTGTTGACAAGCGCAAAGCCGGGCGGTGTCCCAAACGTCATTGTCGGTGGCGGTGTGCTTGATCCACCAGCCACAACTGCACGTCCGATATTTTCCTTGTTTTGTCTATTGGGGGTCCTATCCATGACTACATTTTTATTTTATAGATTTCCATGTTTATTATAGTCTGTTGAAAGGTGACATCCAATAGTATTTGTTGATCCACTGGCCTGAGGGTATCGACAGGCTTGATGTTTTCTTTCTGTTTTTTTCTTAGGATGCACAAGAATATCGAGACAAAAAGGTTCCTGAAAGAGCTCCCATTTTCCCATAACGCCATAATAAGACAGGACGAAACAAGATAGACACTGTCTAGAAACGTCCACCACGGAAACCACCACCACGGCCACCACCACCACGGCCACCGCCAAAGCCTCCGCCGCGACCACCACCTCCACGGCCGCCAAAGCCACCACCGCCGCCGCGGGAGAAACCACCACCACCACCGCGGGAGAAACCACCGCCGCCACGGGGACCACCACGGCCTCGGGGAGCACCTCCACGGCCACCAAAGCTGCCGCCCCGTCCACCACGGCCACCCGCTGCGGGCTTTCTGACCTTGGATCCTGCATTTGGGTTAGCGGCGAGAAAGAAGTAAGATGACAAACACCCAAGAACGTACCCGGAGGAGGCTTAGGCTTGGGAAGGAACCTATAGTCATGTTATTAGCATATATCCCTTCAAAAAGGGTATTGGAGGGGAAAACACGCACTTCTCCAGAGGAAGGAGCTTATCCCCACCGATGTAGACCTTGTCGCCAGGCTTGAACGAGGTCGCGACGATTCCCTCCTGGGGCTTGATGGTGAAGTACACCTGGTTGATGGGACCGAGGACCTCGTCGACCTTTCCAATGGGGGTCTAGAGCAAAACAGATTAGTTATCAACGACTTTCGAATGCAATCCAAAGATCGGGTCGTACTTTGTTCTCGAGGTAGATCGGAGCGTTGAAGTAAGGAATCTTGGGGTTGATCGACTCGCAGAGCATCTCGCCCTCACAAGCGTGCATGAACGATCCCATCTCTATCCAATGGATCAGATATTAGTCACTGTCTGCCCAAACCCATATTTCCTCCCAAATCCAACTGGTTATAGCGCTATTTACCTAGGACCTGCGCAGGAGGACCGAACGACTGCTGCTGGAAACCTCCCCGACCTGTTCACAAGAAAATTTCGTTAGCTGGGCGTGAACCACCACCAAGATCGACCTGTCGCTGGATTTTCAAACTCACCACCACGAAAGCCGGAGCCACCTCTGGGGCCACCACGACCGCGAAAAGACATGCTGGCGATATGATTGATGCGATCGAGCGGATTGAGATACCGGCCTGAATGGACGGAGAAGTTTTCTTCGGGCTGGTGGGAGGCTCGAAGCGGTAAAGTGTCGCTAGTTCCGACGAGGACAGGATTATGTAAGGGAGGGCGATGGGTTTTTTTTTTTTTTTTTTTTTTTTTACTTTTCCTGAGGCAAGGGCAGTTGGCCGTCATGTGACTCACCGCCTTCGGGCGTTTGCCCAATTTCCGCATTGATTGATCTCCGTGCATTATTGTCGATATAGTAGTAGGTTTGAGTCACCAGTTTGAGTCAATCAGTCATTACCTGCCTTTATAGCCCTGTTCCTCACTCTTCGGACAATTTGATCAATTGACTGTCAATTCTGGCTTCAAATATGGCAGCGGAAGGCCAAAAGGACCTGCCTATCAGGTCGCAAAGTAAGTTCAATGAGACTGCAGAACCCCGCAAAAAAAGTGAGAGCCCCTCCTAATGCCCCTCGCGCCAGGCGACGACTCGCTCCCCGATTTCATTATCGAACGAAACAATCTCTTCGAGGAACTTTGGCAGCAACACCTCGAGGAGACCAAGAACCGAGCGCATCCCGAAATCAACGTCACCCTCGATCTCGGAAATGGTGCTACGTCTTCCGTCCCCGCTAAAGCCTACGAGACCACCCCGGCCCAACTGCTGAAGAATGTGCCCAAGGAACTGAGTGCCACTGTGGTCCTCGCCAAGATCGACAAGAAGGAACTCTGGGATCTGAACCGTCCTCTGGAGGGCGACTGCACCGTCTCTTATGTGCCCTTCGACAACCCCGAGGGTCGGGAGGTTTTCTGGCACTCCAGCGCGCACTGTATGGGTGAGGCCTGCGAGTGCGAATATGGGTGTCTGCTTTCGCACGGTCCGCCCACCCCGCAGGGCTTCTTCTACGACATGGCTATGCCGGAGGGGTACGTTTAAAACGCCGCGAATTTGGGTGTCTATACTAATTTTGGACAGTCGCGTTGTTCGGGAGACCGATTGGAAGTCCTTGGATACCAGGACGCAGAAGGTGTTCAAGGAGAAGCAGAACTTTGACCGCCTGGAGGTGTCGAAAGAGAACCTTCGCAAGATGTTCTCTTACAGCAAGTACAAGCTGCACTACATTGAGAAGTTGGTGACTGGAGAAAAGAGCACCGTCTACCGGTGCGGTACCCTTGTCGATCTGTGCCGTGGACCCCACATCCAGAACACCGGAAAGATCAAGACCTTCAAGATCATGCAGGTATGCAACGCCAAAGGCTTCCATTCCTTTCTGGTGTTTAGAAAGCAGGCTAACTTGCCCTACAGAACTCCTCTGCCTACTTCCTGGGTGATCAATCCAACGACTCCCTGCAGCGTATTCGTGGTGTTGCGTTCCCGGACAAGAAGCTGATGCAAGAGCATCTGAAATTCCTGGAAGAAGCTGAGAAGCGCAACCATGTTAAGCTCGGCCGGGAACAGGAGCTTTTCTTCTTCGACGAGGTCTCTCCGGGCTGTCCTTTCCTCCTGCCCAACGGCACCAAGATCTTCAACGCACTGCAGTCTCTGCTGCGGACGGAGTACCGCAAGCGGGGTTACCAGGAAGTCCAGACCCCCAACATGTACGACGTGGGGATCTGGAAGACTTCTGGTCACTGGGCTCACTACAAGGACGACATGTTCAAGCTGGATGTTGAGAAGAAGGAGTGGGCGCTGAAGCCCATGAACTGCCCGGGACACTTTGTTCTGTTTGGCCACCGGGAGCGCAGCTACCGAGAGTTGCCCCTGCGTATTGCTGATTTCGGCGTCTTGCACCGCAATGAGGCGTCCGGTGCGCTGAGTGGCCTGACGCGGGTGCGCAAGTTCCAGCAGGACGACACCCACATTTTCTGCACGCAAGAGCAGGTATGTATCTACCATCTACCCTGAATGGCCATTCAACTAACTCCCTGTAGATCATGTCGGAGATCGAGGGTCTTTTCGACTTCTTGCAGTCTATCTACGGGCTGTTCGGCTTTACCTTCAAGCTGAAGCTCTCCACCCGCCCTGAGAAGTATCTTGGCGAGCTGGAAACCTGGAACTACGCCGAGGAGCAGCTGAAGAAGGCCATGACGAAGTTCATGGGCGACGACTGGATCATTGACGAGGGTGACGGTGCCTTCTACGGCCCGAAGATCGACATCACCATCGCCGACGCTCTCAAGCGGGAGTTTCAGTGCGCCACCATCCAGCTGGACTACCAGGCGCCGCTCAACTTCAAGCTCGAGTACATGACCAACGAGAAGGCCCAGCCGGGCGCTGCTCAGTCCAAGGAACAGCCCAAGGAACAGCCCAAGGAACAGCCCAAGGAAGGTGAGAACAAGGAGGCGGAGACCAAGGCCGCCGAATTGGCCGCGGGCCGTGCCCGGCCGGTGGTCATCCACCGCGCCATCATCGGCAGCTTCGAGCGGTTCCTGGGTATCCTGATCGAGCACTTTGGCGGTAAGTGGCCGTTCTGGATCAGCCCGCGGCAGATCCTGATCGTGCCGGTCATGCCGGCGGTGAACGACTACGTGGAGGAGCTGCAGACGATCCTGCGGGGGGACAAACTGAACGTCGACATCGACGTCAGTGGCAACACCATGCAGAAGAAGATCCGTACCGGCCAGTTGGCGCAGTACAACTTCATCTTCGGTAAGTTTTGCCATAGAAAATCCGACCGTGGGACTTAATTTACTAACCCTGTCTATAGTGGTCGGCGCTCAGGAGAAGGAGTCCCGCACGGTCAACATCCGCAACCGCGACGATCCGGCCACGCAGAACAAGGGCGTCATGGTGCCGCTGGAGGATGCGCGCGTGAAACTGCGCGCGCTGCGCAAGGAGCGCAAACTGGTCAATTCCCTGTAGATTGTTTGATTGTCTTTGTTTTCTTCTTGTTTATACATCTTACTTTTCTCGATCTAGACTAGATGATCTAGAGCCAAGGGTGAGCCAGTCAGTTCTTTGCTGTATGGACGGGGATCTTCAATCAAGCCAGACAACAAGGAAAAAGATAGTTGTCCATGCATGAGGATATGAAGGAGATGATGTGACGGATTTCTCTGCCGAATCAATGAATATTTTTCTTTCCTTTGTTCTATCTTGCCACGTATGGGGTTTGAACGGTTTATTGTTCCATCTTCGGCCCACGTGGTTGATCCCGGTGGTCAGAGCCATGTGGATAACCCTAATCACTAGGCTTTGTCAAACTCGTGTAGAAGTCCATATCTGGTGATTGTAATTTCAGGAGACAGTAGTAGAATCTCAATACAGTGGGGATGTTCCACGTACAGATTTTATATCAACGATCGATATGTGTACTGCATAAGCGTTTACACAGCGCACTGGTCGCTGCCAACCTAGTGCTGACTAACCAATGTTTATTTGTTTAGCTAGTTTAGTTCTTGGTCCATCTTTCACTTTGGTGGTTTTTAGAAGACGCGGTCAATCTCTGCCAGTGATGAGATAGATCCAATCGTTTAATCCGAAATAGATATCCTGCCCTTGCCAGAGACGAAAGATGGCGAATTCAGGGCAAGCGAAAGAATTAATGATCGACGGGAGGGAACTGAGCCGATCAAACATTCCCACCGTCCCCTTAAAACACCCTGGCTGATCGTTCATCGCAATCAAGGTTCTCCCTGGCAGCAGAATCAATCGTGTTTTTTTAAACTCACCCTCTTTCCTTCACACAGCAGCTTCTACACCTGTAAGCTGACCCCTTCATGAACCTGAGTGTCAGCCTGCAGCGCAAATCAGCCATGTACGGGTCATGATGCAGCAACCTCACCATCATCACCCGCATTTCCTGTCCCAGGTGCGCCAGCCCACCATCCTACGACTCCTTGCCATTGCAGGGGCCTTCGTGTCCGGCTGTGCAATTCTCTTCCTCTTTTCGCGCTCTGGGTCCGCCGACTCTCCCCCGCGATCGAACGTCCACCGTCCGCTGTCGGCCAGCACCGCCAATTACACCTGCTACGTGGATCTGGACCTGCTCCGATCGCACGGGTATAACGGCTCGGTGGAATACTCCCGGCTCGAGATTGCCGTCGCCCCCACCGCGAACTTCACGGGCTACTCCGATGCCCTCGACCTCAAGCTCCCCACCTCCGAGCCCCTCGCCCTCAGCGACGACGACGAGGCCGCTCGCGCACCCCTACCAGACGAGAAGTGCGCGACGACCCTGACGATCCCGGGCCCCCCCGCGCGTCCTCCCCCCGATGCCTCCCACATGACCTTCGGCGTATCGACGTCGCTAGACCGCCTGCTCGAGTCGCTGGACGCGTTCGCGCACTGGGCGGCAGGAACCAACGCGCGGATCATCGCGCTGACGGACGAAGGCGCGAGCTTCACGGACAAGGTGCGCAAGAAGGCGGAGCGGCTAGGCGTGCGGCTCACGCTCATCGAGGCGGACGACGAGCGACTGGACCGGTACTTCACGCTCATCCAGATCCTGTACGAGCAGCGGGAGGAGACGACGGAGTGGGCGGTGCTCATCGACGACGACACCTTCTTCCCGTCGATGCGGAACCTGGTCGACCGGTTCGCGACGTACGATGCCACGAAGCCGCTGTACGTCGGCGGCGTCACGGAGGACCCGAACCAGCTGTACATGGGCAGCTTCATGGCGTACGGGGGTGCCGGCATCTTCCTGTCGATGCCGCTGCTGACGCAGATCTACGCCGAGTTCGACGAGTGCTACGACTTCAAGGGCGCGGGGGACCGCATGATCGCGCGGTGTATCCAGGCGCACACGACGACGAAGCTCACCTGGGACCGGGACCTGCACCAGCTGGACCTGCGGGACGATGCGTCTGGGTTCTACGAGTCCGGGCGCCCGCTGCCGCTGTCGGTCCACCACTGGAAGTCGTGGCACGCGGCGAACATGGTGGGGCTTGGCCGGGTGGCTCGGATCTGCGGCGACGACTGTCTGCTGCGGCGCTGGCGGCTGGCGGACGGGTGGTATCTGATCAACGGGTACTCGGTGGTGCAGTACTCGGAGGGCACGGACGAGGACACGCTGGTGGGGATGGAGCATACATGGCTGGATAGCAAGTACGACGGGTGGGACCCGTTCGGATATAGTCTGGGCCCGGTGCGGAAGAAGGACGAGGGCAAGGTGTCGTATCGGTTGGTGGATGCGGTCGAGGTGGCGGGTGAGGTTCGACAGATGTACGTGCATGAGCCGGGGGAGGGCCCGCCTCGGGTGTTGGAGATAGTATGGAAGGGTGTCTAACTCTCTATCTTTTTCTCTCTATTATTGCATTGACTGTGGGCGTTATGAGTCGCGAAACCATCCGTGAGTATCCAGGAGTATCAAGTAATCGGTATCCTACGGAGTATAGTATCTTGGAATGGATCAGCCGGCTGCCTCAGGCACAGAGTCTAGACCTTTCTTTGTTTTTGACTCTTTTCTTCATCTTCTCTCTTCTCTCTTCTTTCTCTTCTCCTTCTGTTCTTCACTTCCTTCTTTCTTTTGTCTCCTTGATCTATTCTATATCACGCTCACTTCACTGATCCCCACTGTGAGTGTGATGAAGATTGATTAAACCCCATGCAGGATCCATCCCAACTACTGTAACTACTGCACGTCCCACCCACTCCAGGCCCCCCAATCACCTGCAATATATTCCCACCCACATCTAATCCAGGTCTGTCTATTCACTTACTCCTTCCCCCTTTTATCTAGTCCTTTTGGTCATTTCTCGTCCTTTTCGGCTCTTCTCCTTCCGAAACTCTCTTTTCCCTTTTTTTCTCTGTCTCTGGGCTGACTTGACAGCAGCGCACCGATCAGCCGCAACGGAAGATTGACCAGTGCGGGGCTGCGTTCCGTCGATTCTCTCTCTCTTTGCTCGACTGTTCAACTGTTCAACTGTTCTCATCTGCCTAGTCGGTTGCTCCATCGACAGTCGCGTCATCTGAATCAAGTGACAATCGTATATATCTCATTAATTCAAGACACAACCGGAAAAGGAAGAGACCCTCTCTCCTCAAACGCCCCCCTCCAACAAACAAACAAACAAAAAAAAAATCCAAGACAGCAACGGATACCCACCTTTTCCCCCCTCTCCACCCCCCACCAACCCTCGGAGTCTCGCCTGACTGAACATCAAAGCCCCTCCTCTCGTCCTCTTTCTCTCTCTCTCATCTCGTTCTTATTATCCGACTCCACCTTTTCCGACCTCGACTTTTCTTCTTTCTTTCTTCTTCTTTCTTCCCTCCTTTCTCTCTCTCGCTCTCTCTCTCTCTCCCTCCTTCGCTCTCTATTCCCCTCCAGTTTCCTTTTCTCGTCCACTCTTCGTCGATCGTTCTCGGCTCTCTCCGATCGCAATGGCCGATTTACAAGGTCGGAAGGTCTTCAAGGTCTTCAACCAGGATTTCGTCGTCGATGAGCGCTACAACGTCACCAAGGAGTTGGGTCAGGGTGCCTACGGGATCGTTTGGTACGTCACATCTACTGTCCTTCGGTGTTGACCGCGACGTCAGTGGCAGTCGCATAACCACCGTTGAGCCAGCGCTCATCTCATTCTTCCATAGTGCCGCCCAGAACATTCAGACCGGTGATGGCGTTGCCATCAAGAAGGTCACCAATGTCTTTAGCAAGAAGATCTTGGCCAAACGCGCCTTGAGAGAAATCAAGCTCCTCCAGCACTTCCGTGGCCACCGCAACGTAGGTCGTCCCGCTTCCCACTTACGCCGCATGTCGAATTAACGGGTGGGGTAGATTACGTGCCTCTACGATATGGATATTCCCCGACCTGACAACTTCAATGAGACGTACTTGTATGAAGGTGAGGAGCTCCCGATGTCTACCTACCTACCTACCTACCCATCCACTAATTCGATGCCGTAACCAGAACTGATGGAGTGCGATCTGGCCGCCATCATCCGTTCCGGACAGCCCTTGACCGACGCCCACTTCCAATCCTTCGTCTACCAGATCCTCTGCGGTCTGAAGTACATCCACTCGGCGAATGTCCTCCACCGAGATCTCAAACCCGGAAACTTGCTGGTCAATGCGGACTGCGAGCTCAAGATCTGCGACTTCGGTCTGGCTCGTGGGTTCTCGATCGATCCGGAGGAGAATGCGGGATACATGACTGAATATGTCGCGACGCGGTGGTACCGGGCCCCGGAGATCATGTTGAGCTTCCAGAGCTACACGAAAGCCAGTACGTCACCTTCCCCCCCCGCTCCTTTCTCCGCTTGTCCTGCTAACGTCCCCAGTCGATGTGTGGTCCGTGGGCTGCATTCTGGCCGAACTGCTCGGCGGCCGCCCCTTCTTCAAGGGCCGCGACTACGTGGATCAGCTCAACCAGATCCTGCACTACCTCGGCACCCCCAACGAGGAGACCCTGAGCCGCATCGGCTCTCCCCGAGCCCAAGACTACGTGCGCAACCTGCCCTACATGCCCAAGATCCCCTTCCAGCGCCTCTTCCCCAACGCCAACCCAGACGCCCTCGACCTCCTCGACCGCATGCTCGCCTTCGACCCGACCTCCCGCATGTCCGTCGAAGACGCCCTGGAGCACCCCTACCTGCACATCTGGCACGACGCCTCCGACGAGCCCAACTGCCCCACAACCTTCGACTTCCACTTCGAAGTCGTCGAAGACGTCGGCGAGATGCGACGCATGATCTACGACGAGGTGGTCTCCTTCCGCGCCACCGTCCGCCAGCAGGCGCAGGCGCAGGCCGCCGCCCAGCAGCAGCAGATGGCCCAGCAGACCAACGTCCCCATCCCCGAGAACCACCAGCAGGGCGGATGGAAGCACGAGGAGCCCAAGCCGCAGGAAGCGCTGGCCGCAAGCGGTGGACCCCCCAACGATCTGGAATCGTCGCTGCAGCGCGGGATGGATGTGCAATAGATGCTATCTGCTATATGCTATATAGTTTTGACTTTGTTTTGATTCTTTGATTGCTTCATCTGCTGTTTTGTGATTTCTAGCTCTCATGGATGCTGGTGTCCTGTCATTTTTGTTTTTATTCATTCACATCTTTTTTGTTGTTGTTGTTGCTGTTGCTGTTGCTGTTGTTGTTGTTGTTCCTGTTGCCGTGTCAAAAGAATCAGTGTATCTGTTCTATATATCCATCTTCCGTATAACCGGGAGGTCTGTATACTGGATCAAGTCAGCCAAGCGAGTAGTGCGAATGTCAGATTGATAGATAGAGTATAGGATTGTATATACTTCTTTAGCCATCTAACTCAAATATAACCATGCAGTGATGCTAGCAGTCATGTAGGGTAGGTATGTATGTGGGTAGTAGGTCGGTCAACATGGCATTCTGGCCAAGGCACTAAAACTAGGTATGGTAGATAGGTAGGTAACTGATATACATCGTACACATCTACTTGCTAGATCAAATACTTACTGTAGACTACCTACCTACCTACCTACCTACCTACTTACTATCATATCATATCAAGTCAAGCCCAGGTACAGGATGAAAAAGATAGATTGGATATAAAATACTCAATGGAACAATCAATCAATCAATCAACCAATCAATCAATCATTTGAAAAAAAGGAAAGAAAAGTAAACCAAATGCAATGCTAATAGATACCATAAAACGTTCATCAAAAACAGGGGGAAAAGGGGGGCATCAATAGTAATACCCCCTCCACCAAACAGCCATACAAGCCGCGACGACCAAATCCAGCATCTTGATGCCCTCGTCCTCGATGACCAGTTTTCCCAGTTTGGCGCTCTTCCCGCGCATGCCGCCGCCTGCGTTTTCTCTTGCGAGCGATAGGTCGAGGCGGTCTTCGCTGGGGAAGCGGCGGATGGGGTGGCCCTGGCCCTGGCCCTGGCCCTGGTTGGGGTTCTGGGCGATGGGGCCTGGGGATGGGGATGGGGCGGGACGACGGCGGGGGAGGGGTGGTGGGGGTGGACCGTCGCTGTCGGTGCTGCTTGTGGAGGATTTGCGGAAGTGAGGTTTGTGGCGTTGGCTGGGTGGGCCGTGGGTTGGGTCGTGTGAGGTGGTGCTGCTTCGAGAGCGTGGGCGGTTGGAGAAGTTGTGGGGGTTGAGGAAGTGGGCGAACGAGCTGCGTTTCGAGGCCTGTGAGGTCGTGGTTGTGGTAGGGGGCATGCCGGAGACTGGAGGGCCGGATGCTGCAGGTGCTGTGCCGGATGGGTTGAAGACCGGTTCGTTAAAGGTCGGGGTCTGGCTGAGGGTGAAAGGTGAGAGGTGCGATGAGCCCGGTTGGTGAGCGAGATGTCCTGCCTGAAATGGCGTGTTGAATCTGATCTCGGCCACTGTGACGGCGGGATTCTCCATGCCGTTGGGTCCCTGGCCCTGTCCTGGCATCGGGATCATGTGTTTGCATTTCAGGGTGCGACCGTTGACGCTCGTCAAGAACGTGCAGTTGCCGTTCCACGGAGAGGTAAAGGTGTAGTACCCGCTTTTGAGCTTCTGTCCCCCGATACTGCACCTGGAGGGACTGCCGGCCCTCCCTCCAACGGGGACGGTGTCTTGGGAGGAGCGGTTGCCGGGCATGTCGAGGGAGCCCCGCGCATCGTCTGGGAGGAAGGGTCTGGAGACACACAGCTTGCGTTGGAATTTAAGTGGCTTCGCTGGGTCCGGAGTCGGGTTCGTGGATTCCTTGGGTTCAGCGGCTTGCGAAGGTTGAAGAGACGGCGGAGGCTGGCCGCCCGCTTTGAGATTGGACAGGTTCAGCCCCAGGCTGGCCAGGTCGAGTGGTTCGTTTTGCGCCAGGAATCGGTTGTATCCTGGTGTGGACACCTCAATGTCAATGGCACTGCCGTCCATGCGGGGAGTCGACATGGTCGCAACATTCCACTGTATTCCATGCGTCGGGTCGCGACGGATCAGCGTAATGTGGAAACCTGGTCGCGGTCGAGCCACGGCGGGTGGTGGTCTGTGATCGTAAGGCTGTCGGACCGGGGATTGATGCGCATTTCGAGTCGGAGATCCCATACGAGAATGAGATGGACTCTCGTGGGCCGAATGGGGTCGCGCGTGTATGTTCCTTGACTCGTGGCCATGATGTCCATCGGTTAGGGCTTTGTAATGATCTTTCCAGCCTTCCATCCCGTTGCTATTCATCTCGGCTAATGCGCTCCAGCGATTGGGCATGCTGGGGGGCTGATACAACGGTGCCTCGTCGGGGACCGGAGGGAGCGGTCGTCGCGAGGGTGGATTTGGATTCCTCGAGTGCGGCGCATCCTCGATTGGTCTCTGTTCGCGACCGGAGGCAAGTCCTGGCCCAGAGGCAGTCGGAGGAAGTTCGTGCACCGGGGGTGCCACCAACGGGTTGGGCTGGACGAAATCCTCGAGTCCCTGCGATGCTTTGGATGGACGAACCGGCAGGGGCGGCGGGGGAGGGTCGAAATCCGCATTGGAGGGAGGGTTCTCCTCCGCTGCGACCGGTTTGCGCCGGACCTGATTCATTTGCGCGAACTTCTGCGGCAGATCTATGTCCTCATCTCCCATCCTCTCCTTGCGCAGCCTGGCCTCTTCTTCGCGCTCCTCCGCGTACTCCTGGAGCAGGGCATCGTCGTCGGGGGTGGCTACATGTAGGTAGTAGAGGGAGGCGTTGATCGCTTCGGCGGACACGCTGGCTTTTGTCGGGGGTTTGAGAGGGGAGAGGAAGACATCTGTGGTGGTGGTAAACAGGTCAGTGATCAAATGAGTAGACAGAACTCCGATGGATGAATTCTCCGAATGCTGCCCGCGTGGGAGGGGTTGGTCACGGTCGCATACACCAAGCACTTACCTTTACTACCAGGAACCCGGACGATGTACAAGGACAGCGGGTCCAACCTGGTCTGAGTGGGATTGCGTGGGTACGCAGGCGGGTTCGACGCGATGGCGGTGATCGAGGACAGTGATCGGGCCTCGATGGGACCGCGGGGGAGACCCGAGACGGCGGGATCGGTCTCCGCGGTGACGTCGACCCTGGCCATGGCGACCGTAGATCAACAGGGGTAGTCAGGACCAGGGGGGACTCGATGACGAAGTGAAGCGAAAATGGAGAGAAATGGTGGAGAGGACGAGAAGACAAACAAACAAGGGCGGAAAGGCGCGGCAAGGGTCATTGACAGAGGAAGAGTTGAGTTGACTTCCTCTGACGGAGGGGCTTTCGTGGCGATGAAGCCAGGGCTGAGCCAAGGCTGGGAATCCACCAACAACGAATCGAGGCGGGTTGTACGAGGCCCTAAAAAATCAAATCAGATCAAGCCAACATCAGCATTAGAACACCCTGGCCCAACACGAGAAGATATTTCTGTTGGGGAGTCAAACAGCGTTGCCTGAAATGATCATCTTGGGTGGCGATGGACGGAACGAATGGGAGCAATCAATTCTTTCACATTGGTATCTCGCAGCAACAACAATAATAATGAAAATAGAACAAAAAGAAACGCAGTATATCCAGTAGTTACATGATAAAATCACGGTGGTGTGGTGGTGATGATGATGCTGACAGGGAATCACCAAGAGAATATTATCGAATAAGAAAGAAAAAAATAAGCCCATTGTCCATCCGTTCCTCCAAGAAAGCGACCAAACACATGAAGAAAAAGCAGATCATGAATAAAAAAAAATAGAAAAAAAAGGGAAATAACAATGAATGGAAAATAATGAACGAAAAACTCCGTAGCTCCAGAGCTCCTAAGCTAGACCCTCCTCATCCACAGAAGTCGACAGATCCAGATCGGTTTCCGACTGTGCGATACGACTGTGGGAACTCACACAACGGTCTCGGATCGTTCGCCCTCCGCGATGATCGGGACGTTGAGTCCGCGCTCTGGGCTCTGCAAGACCAGCTGCTCGTGACGGCGAGCCCGTAGAAAATCACTGATGGCCCGGATCAAGATAAACCAACCGACAATCATCAAGACGTAGGAGATCCATTCGCTCGTGGAGATGCCGGACGGCGCACCACCCCCAGCCCCGCCATCCCCTCGGCCGTTCACCGAGTCCGGGTCGAAGGTGTGGCTGTTGGGGTCCGGCGGCGTCACATAATCTGCGTCACCATCCTCGCCCTGAGGGTCGCTGCCCCCCTTCATATAAAACCCATATTGCACCAGGGTCAGGCCGAGACCCGCCCGGCTGCCGTTCTTCGCGGCGTGTGTGGTGTGCAGGAGGTAGGTCAGGAGGAAGCCGACCAGCTGGAAGGACATGGAAATCATGGCATTCCAGACAAACGAGAAGACGGATCCGACCGGTAAGCCGTCCACAAATACCTCGTCGGACGAGAATCCGGGTGCCAGGATCGTCGTCTCCCAATAAGGCGGAGTCGCATCGGCGGCTGCTTCTTCATATGACTATCCCGACCGTCAGCAGAGAGCCTTCTATTGGGTAAAAGAGATACATACGGGAGGCAGATCTTCGCTCTTCTCACCCCGTTCGGGCTTGGCCGCCAGGTTCGCAAAGACGCCGTCATTGGACGAGGTGACGACCCGGTTGGCAGATGAACCGGTCGACCCCAGGAATGGCAACATCGTCGGTCTCCGTAAAATTCCCGAACTCTGCGATCCACCCGACTGTGACTGTTGCTGTTCGCTGTTGCCGCCCGACGATGAGGCAACAGGTATATTGGTGCTGAGGGTATCCGCCACCGGTCGGGAGTCGGGCTGGGCCCGCATTAAGCGCTGACGATCATCGGGCTCGTGGTCGGAATCGGAGTCGCTGCTGTCATCGAACGCATCCGCCAGAGTCTGGTCGGCATTCGATCGGTTGGGGTCATCGTGGAGGAGGCGTCTGGAGGAGAAGGAGGAGGATCGAGAGCGGAAGGAAGGCGGGGGCGAAGAGGGAGTCTGGTCTGGTCGCAAGGGAATGGAGGATTGGGAATTCGGATCTTCGTCGACCTCGTGGGGATTGACCTGATTAGTGTTAGACGAATTCAGACGTATCCTATACCATATCGCAGAATCAGAATTAGAGAGGCATACCCGTTGGTACCGCTGCGAACTCATGACGAGACGAGCGGGAGGCGACCAGTCCGGCAAGGGATCCGCGAGGTTTGAGCAAAAGGAGAGAGCCGACCACAGTGGATCACAGACAAAAGAAAGGGAAGAGAAAGGACGAAATCAAAAAAGGAAAAAGAGGGAGTGAGGGTGACGATGAAAGAGGATGATGGGAAAGAGAGAGACAGGAGGATGATGGAGAGGGAAGGGAAGAATGAAGTGAGCCGGATGGGCTGCCTGGGGCACCTCTGACCAATCCGCCGCAGATCCCGTGATGACGGTTAGATTCTTATCTATCTCGGTATCTCTCTTGAGCTTCACTTGATATCATTCAAGTCAATCATCCTCACCCACTTCAACATGTCTAAACCAACAGTATGTCTCCTTCTTTCTTCTAAATACATCCTCTCTCTATCCATACCCATCCATCCGTCCCTTCCTCCATACCCACTATACCCTTCAACGCCCCCAATACCTTTTATACCCTCCAACGCCCCCAATCCCCCAATCAATCAATCCACCAACTAACAACCCCAGAACCGAATCACCCACCTCCTCACCCACTGGCCAACCGACCACGTCCGTCCGGCCTCCGTCTCCGTCCAATCCTTCCTCCAGTCCCGCCTCCCCCAATCACAACAACCTCAATCCGCCACCTCCCCCCCATCGCAAACCACAACATCCACGACAACTCCCCCCCCAATCTCCGAATCCTCCCTCAACGCCCTGTCCTCCCTCCTCGAAGACCGCTACGTCCGTCGCTACCCCGTCCCCCCGCGCGTGCGCCGCCCCGCCAGTAACCCAGACCACTACGATGACCTCGTGCGCGAGTTCGACGAGGCGCCTAATCGCGACTGGTGGGGGCGGTTGGGGAAGAAGGTGAAGGGGCTGTTTCGGTTTACTTAGGGGGTGTGCTCTTTCTTCAGTTTTACTGCTGAGAGGAAGAGGGGGAGGAGGAGAGATCGGGAGGTGTATACTATGTTATGTTAGGGATTGGGTTGGGGCTTGGTTGGGTGTATTACTATTGTTGTAATTGTGATTTATTGGGGGGGAGAAAAGAGTAATTTTTGATGTTAGGAGAGTTATAGTACTGTGTGTACGATACGACACCCTGAATTGGAATTGATAAATTAATGAAAAAAGATATATCTTGTTCACAATTATTTGTGCACCAGGTTATAAGTATATACCAACTAAATCAAGCCAAATGCTAACCATGCAAGCATGCAAGAGAAAAAATCAACAACAAAAAGCAAGAAACTACAGCATCGGTTTCACATCCTCAGCAACCTGAAACGGCGCCTCGGTCTTACTCCGCACTTCATCAACCGTCACCCCATCCGCCAGCTCCACGAGCGTCAAGCCCGAGGTGAAGTCAACGTCGAACACACACAGGTCGGTGATGATGCGGCTGACGCACGTCTTGCCCGTCAGCGGGAACTCGCACTGCTTGACAATCTTCGGGTTGCCCTTCTTGTCGGTGTGCTCCATCGTCACGACGACCTTGGTCGAGGTCGGGTTCGACACTAGGTCCATGGCGCCGCCGAAGCCCTTGATTTTGCCGGGGAGCATCCCTGTCATTTTGTGTTAGTGAGACAGTTCTTGATATCGGGAGTTGAGGAAGGTAGAGGGAAATATACAGTTAGCCAGATCACCTCGCGCGCTCACTTGCATGGCGCCCAGAATCGTCAGATCAATACGGCCCGAGCGGATCATGCCAAACGATTCGTCGCTGCCAAAGCAAGCCGCGCCAGGCAGCAGCGTGACCGTCTCCTTGCCCGCGTTGATCAGATCCGGGTCCTCCTGGCCCTTCTTGGGGTAGGGACCGAGGCCCAGGATACCGTTCTCAGACTGCAACTGCACCTCGACGGAGGGGTCGACGAAGTTCGGCGCGAGCATGGGCATGCCGATTCCCAGGTTAGCGTACATGCCGTTCTTGAACTCCTTGGCGGCGCGGCGCACGATGCGCTCGCGCTTGGAGGCCGTGTCGCCCTTGCCCAGCGCGGCGGCGGCGTCAGCGCTCTCGGCCTCGTCCTTGGCGAAGGTGTACTTCTCGATGTTCTTGGGCGCGGTGCTCTGCACGACGCGCTTGACGTAGATGCCGGGGAGGTGGATAGCGGCGGGCTCGATCTCGCCAGGCTCGACGATGTGCTCGGCCTCGACGATGGTCATCTTAGCGTTGCGGCCCATGGCACCATTGAAGTTCGCCGCTGAGTAGCGGAACTGGCAGTTGCCGAGCTTGTCGGCCTTGTAGGCCTTGACGAAGGCGTAGTCGCCCTTGATAGCCTCCTCCATGACGTAGCTCTTCTTGTCGAAGACTTTCACGTCGCGCGGCTCGCCGTACAGCGCCACCGTGCCGTCGGGGTTGTGCTTCAGCGGCAGCTCGCCCGTCTGCACGACCGTACCCAGCGCCGCGGGCGTGTAGAAGGCCGGAATGCCCGCGCCGCCGGAGCGACACCGCTCGGCGAGCGTACCCTGGGGTGTCAGCTCGAGCTCGATCTCGCCGGTCAGGTACATGCGCTCGAAGGTCTTATTCTCGCCGACGTAGCTGGCGATCATCTTGCGGATCTGCTTCGACTGCAGGAGAAGACCGAGGCCGGCTCCGTCGACTCCCGCGTTGTTGCTGACGACCGTCAAGCCCGTGATTGACTCTTTGGCGCGCACCGCATTGATCAGCGTGTCGGGCACACCGGACAGACCGAATCCGCCCGCCAGCAGGGTCGAATTGGACTTCATGTCCTTGATCGCGACATCTGCGGACGAGAACACCTTGTTGATTTCAGGTCGACGGACGCTACTGGAGAAGGCCCGCGCCAGGAAGCGTTGATGCTGAACAGGGTCATGTCAGTCGTTTCCCCTCATTTCTTTCTTGGAGTATCCAAGGACATGTAACACACCTTGCTCGGATCAGCAGAAAACTGCCTCGCAAACCGCAAACACGTCGCCACTTGAGAAGGCATACTGAACGTGACTCAAGTATGGGATTTGAAGATGCAAAATAGTTCAAATCCTCCCAATAATGCAGCTCAACACCACAGTTTTAATACAGTTCCAACTAGATGTTTGAAATATGAAACACACATCCGTGGAAAAATACAAGATGTCAGTGAGGAGAAAGAAACCAACCCGTCTATAAATCCGGGGGAGAAAGCGAAACAGCGGTTTGACGCGGAGTTGCGGAAAGTAACCGGCTGAGTCCCCGGAATCTTCCCCGCACTTGCCTGCAGCTGCTTATGTAATCACTACAATGAACCATCGTTCGTGTGGATAATTGTGTAGGATTGGTCTATCTGTGTCAATGGTTCTGTTTCTTGCTTCTCAAGCACTAGGAGAGACCCATAATGGCTTGCAAGTGAGGTATGGATGCCTGGATCCACTGCCGATATCGACTCCCGATTGCAAACTGTGGCTGACTGGCTGCCGCTTTCCGATCCGATCCGCGGCCCGCCTGCGGTCACGTGTATACATATAGTCTCAATGGTATCCAGGATTCTATCTCGCCAGTACTCCGTATAAGAAGATGGTATGTAAATTGTGATGGACTCATAGTGATATGTATTCATAAACATCATCGGCAGTCGTGATGGTATCAACAAGTATCTACAACAGCAATGTAGTAGTCATAAGTTCCGCCCAAGCGTAAAACCAGAGCCGAACATCATTATTCATATCCCAGCAAGCCCACTCCGATACCGCAAGGTGAGCAAACCACCTGGGAGAGAGAATGAACATGCGAATGCTTTCAAATGTGCAGGGGCAATGTCAACTTTTCCCTATTCTGATCGTTTGTCACGTCACGGTAGATGGTGAGCACCCCAAAGGGGACCGTCCGTTCAAGGTCCGGCTCACCCCAAGTTCCGATCGATCGGACCGGAACTCACCCCCCAGTCCACACTCTTCCGCTTCAGAGGGTTCGGAGGGGCAGCCAGCATTGGTGATTTCGTCTCAGGGCCTACCACTGTACACGAGGCCTGTTAGTGTCACTGCTCTGCCTTCCAGTATTTGTCCAGCTGCTTTCGGCGTTGACGGTCTTCGTCTCCGGATCTCCCATGTGGGTGTCATCTGCCGTACCTGATGCCCCTTTGCCGGCCCAGGCCGCATCGTATGGCGGGGGGTTCATGTCCGTATCCTCCGTGGGGGCCGGCGGTCCCCCGCCGGTCGCGGTAACCCCTTCCATGGCATGGCTATCGGACTGATGGGAGGCGTTGGGCGGAGTGTCAACCATCTCTCGGCAGACGGGACTGGCAAGACGATCCTTCATGGTATCGTTGACGTAGACGAGGAAGTACGGGGTCGGGGGGTTCTGGCGGTCTTGACTCTTGAAGATCTCGTCAAGGTTTTGGACCTCGGTCACGTATTCGTCGTTGTACTTGCGCCAGATGTCTTGCTTGAAGTCGTAAATGTAGATGTAATAGTGACCAAAGGAAACGGTACCGGAGTGGACGAAGACCGCAAACAGCCGATAGGCCAGGTGCTTGAAATCAACAAACTGGCTGGATATCATGGTCTGCGTGTTCTGAATCTCGTGCTCAATGTCTGCACCCAGTTAGCATACCGTCCGCCCAGTAACCACATCGTGGACAGGCGAGGATGTCTTACATTTAATTTCCGCCCTCGCGATTTGGGAAAGTTGGCCGAGTTCGGGCATTAACTCGGGGTTGATGTCGATGGCATCTTGCGTACTTTCGGGGCTTTCTTTCATAGAGTTGAGGTCTTCTAGAACCTCCTTGGCAGTATCGAACAGAGTGGGCAGGTCAAGACCATCGGATTCCTGAAGCAGCAGTTAGAGATAAGTTTTTGTCTTTCTTTTAGGGTATGGGAATCCGCACATTTTTCCGCAGCAGCTGTTCCCGGCGAGCTTCAAGTTCTTTCAATTTGCTCTTCCATTGCCAGCATTGCTGGCGCCGTTGCATGATTTCCGACTGCGTAGAAGTGTCCATGTATCGGTCTAGGTAGATAGTCTCCTTCAGATCCAGGTGGTGCGTGGATTTGAATGATCGTTTCGTTGTCGGATCAAACTGGACCCGTTGCACTTGGATCTGCAGGACAGGGGGCAGTTTGCTGATGGCGCCAAATTGCTCTGCCACGGTGTTCTCGACATTGACATTCTGGATGTCAAAGGCTCCATCTATGGCCGCATAGATATCACGAGACCCGGTTGCCACGTCGACCTTGATATCGCACCATCGTTCATCCTTCGAACGCGTGTTCTCTCCAGAAAGAATGTACGACCTTGTTTGTCCGTAAAACAGATCTTTCACAAGGTCGACTTGTTCGCCATCGGGTGCGATCGAAGTCGGCCGGATCGCACATTGACTTTGGAAAAGCACATTGTTGATGACTTCCGTTACATCCTGCTGGGCTCCGATCTCCACTTCTTCGATGAGCTGCTTTTGGGGGTCAAGCTGCAGTGTCGGGCGTGGAGGCACCGGCGGCGGCTGATCAGGGAGTGCAGGCATCTGCTCCGTCGCCGACGGCTGAGATGAGGGGGATACTTCCTCTGCCGCTTTTGGGGTGGGCTCAGACTGAACGTCAGTCATGACCGTGTCGGCAGCTGGTGCTTCATTCTCCTTGTCATCGTTTTTGGCAAGAGGGGCTGCGTTTTTGGGACCGTCCGCGACCAATGTTGCTTCGCTGTCCCCGTCGCTCGTTGCTGAACGCTGAAACCTTTCGACTCCTAAAGGCACAAGATCTTTGGGTTCACTGCCGGTGGTGGCTGTCTGCGGAGGCCCCTGTGGTCCCAAAATCGGCAATCCGTTAATCTCTCCAATAGCAGCAGGCTGACTAGCAGAGATGGTCGAGCGGCGACGGATGGCGGCTTCATTCGACGGGCTAATCAACGTCAACCGTGCCAATTCCCGGCCCGGCGTGACGAAGGATTTGGGCGAGGTCATCATGTCTTGAAATAGGATTCGAAGTTCACGAAGGACTGGGCGTAGGAAGTCAGTAACTTGGCGACATGCATAGGTCAAGTGATACGGTGCTTACATCTCTGGGAGCGCTCCACCTCCTTCTTCGACACTTTGCGAGACCCTACCTTCTTTGAGAAATCCTCGTCATCGCCCAGCTCCATCCGATAATTCTCAAAGTCCAGGACCATGTTGCGGAATGGTTGCACTGAATAATAAAACTGCAGCAGGCTGTTTAAGTAACAAGTGTTGCCAATATTGTGCAATCCCACGGGCCATTGCGACATGTTGCGGTCCGGCTTGTCTGCCGAGCCCGAAATCATACTGCGGAGCATAGGGCTTTCTTTGTCATTTGCGATTAGGCTCAAGGCTTGGTTGTATGTTTCAACTTGTGCAGGAGCTTCATTCACGCAGATAGTGTATGCCGCCATGATTGCGCTCTCATCGACAGTGCGGTCTGGAATCTGAAGAAGACGATATGCATCGGCAACATCCATCTGACCAGCAGTCGTTTCGCCAGTCTGAAGGAAGTGCTTGAGGGCTTGTGAATTTCGTGACTCTGCAATAAGCTCGATGGCTCGCCGAGCGAGATCTCTGCTTGTAGGACTGTCATTGATCTGGGAGAAAGTCAGTCAAGAGATCCATCTGCGATACGGTCTGCCTATCCTGTACCTTGGTGGTATACATGGTCATGACGAAATCATCAGGCGTATCGCTGCTGACCCCGAGGTATACCTGAGCTTGTTCCGCAGTGGCCACCCCTATAGCGCCGGTCAGCATTTCAGAAACAAAGGTGGTATCTGGCCCGACAGGGGCAGATGTAGAAAGAGACATACGGTCTTCTGCTGCTGACTTGATTCGCTCGCTCCTTCTGCTGTCACCTATCCTCCACAATTGCCGGCGAACTTCGGTCTCCTGGGAACTAGTGGTAGCTCCCAAGAAGGCATAAAATTTCCCGATAATGTTCTCCTCGGTGAGCCACGCGTCATCATGTTGGAGTCCGAAATACTTGTAAGCAGAGGCGATGTCGTCATCGGTATATTTCCCTTCTGCGTAAGCAAGTTGTACAGCCTGGTCGATAACACTCCCATCATCCCCTCCTCTTAAATGGCCAATAGACCTTAAACATTGAAGATAGAGAGAGGTTCTTTCCGGATCCACGGATATCTGGCGATTGAAGGCTTCGATGATCGCAGCTGAGGACATGTCTTCGACGACACCCAGGTCTTCATAATAGCTATATTTTGGTCAATTTTGTTTCCTCTTGACAATGGTTCAACAGGGGAACGAACGGTCCGGATGCCATTTGAAATTCACTCGACCGCGGTGACGGTGGATCTAGATACTAGGTTAGGATTGCAGTTCACAGGTGGCAAACCATGGACATACAGTTATAAGCATCAAGTGCACCAAGCAAGCTCTCTAGAGCTGGGGTATAGGAATCTTTAATCTGGTTTCCTTTCTTCTCCATCAATGGCCGCTGGTCTATGAGTGCGCAGAGTTCATGGATAACATCGTCAAGGAATATCTTCTGCTGATCGCGGTAAGGAAACTCCGCCCAAGCGCTCGGCCGAGGGGGTTCCCAGAATTCCCTGTCCTATGCAAGTCATCAGTAACATTGTGGCCAGGGTAAGCACTGAGACGCCATACCTTGACACTGAACCCCAGGGATTCTAGCAGTTCTTTACATGGCTGCCCTTCGGTGCCGAAACATGACATAAACCGCTTATTGGTCGCTTTGATTGACTTGTTCTGCTGCGGGTCGTGGAGAGCATTACTGAGGTAGGTGCGCAGAGTGAGGAGGACGGCGATCGGTTGAGGTGCACCAATCCCTTCCATGTGTTCGGAATACGCCGCAACAGCTTCCTCCGCACGCGTTTTCAACAATTCCGGATCGGTCAAGAGTTGCACCGATCGGTGGTCTAAAACAGGAGAGGTCACCCGTACCGTGACTGCGGCGGGACAGGTGAAGTAAGAACATCCATAATTGAAGGTCTCCGCGGTCTGTCCTTTGGAAGTGATCTCTTCTGGGGATGGCCCGCCTTTGTGTCTCCCTGAGTTGTAAACCAAGTGATGGATATGATCGGAAGGAAACTGGCCGGAGTGACCGATTCCCGGATTTGAGGTCACCTTCACCTCCAGGTGATATCGGCACTTGTAGCAGAATGCGGACACCCTGGTTGGGGCCCCGGAGCTGCCCTTCTGATCCGCTTTTTGTAGGAAACTTTGAGCGGTCTTAAGCCTATAATCGTGGTGACATGTTGACGGGGAACTGTATTCGCGCGGTCCATGGTAGTCTCCAGGAAAAACCGGAGGGACGTCTGCAAGTAGATTGCGGCCGCTGCTTGGGGGATGAGCCGGGTCGTAGTCGCGGATGTCTTGGACAAGCCGCGGGGCAGTCTTGCCTGAACAGGGTATCTCCGGGTTAGATTCCATCATCACCAATGTGTTGTATGCCATGGGGGAAACCCTTATCGCACGTACCTGACCTCTGAAGCGACGACATGGATCGGTACCTCTGAGCTCAGTTCACAAGAGTCAGAGGACCAAACCACAGAATCCAGGCGGGATCTACAATGATTTAAAAACCGACATCCAATATCAGTCCAACCGGTCTTTCCCGTAATGGTGTTATATGTCTCAAATCAACCTTCAATAGAACCAGTCAAGCTCGAAGGTAGCAGCAGACTGGCAAATCAATGGTGGGGAGTGGGAGCGGGCGGCAAGCTGGGGGCGTGTTTAATTCAACAACCCCACCCTACAGCGATGATGTCTGGTCGCAAGACGTGGCAAAAGCCTTAGGTAACAATATATAAAGAAGAGAGAAAGAAGGACAAAGCGAGCTTGCAATGAGGAATAAAAACCATCAGTCGAGAATGACTAGAAGCGCATGACCATGTCTTCTTTCCTCCCGGCGGTCATTGCATGAAGCTCCACGGGAAGCCGGGGTAGGCGGTGTGCGTTGGCAGAAAGTACGACGTCCCAAATTCGATCGGAAACGTCCTCGACCGCGAACCTACTCGCTCTCTATACGCAATCAAGTCGAGTTATTTCTCACCCAGCCATCCGCCACCATGGCCACACACACGGAGGAGCACACCTATCACCCCAAGCCTACTGTTCAGAGGGCATTGAAGACGTCCATGCTGACAGCTGGCGCGGGTCTCTTTGCTTCGGCCGTCCAGAACACCCTCACCCGGAAGAATGTTGGACCCTTTGGTGTGTTCGTTCGTAGCGGCAGCACCATTGGAGTTTTCGGTATGCGAACAACTGGGGACGGAGATGCTTGGATATTTGTGCCTGTGGCTGACCCCGCTTCATTCTAGCCGCCATGGGAGGTACCTACGAGTTCGCGAAGAACGCATCGGCCAACCTGCGGGAGACGGACGACCACTGGAACGTCGCAATTGGCGGTTTCTTCTCTGGTGCGATTCTGGGACTAAAGGGTTCGTCAATTTCACCTTGTTTGTTGTCTCTCAATTGCTGGATATTCAGTCTAACCGTTCTGCAGCCCGCTCCTTCCCCGCTCTTCTGGGATACGGTGCCGCCCTGGCCGCCTCCATGGGCGCCTTCGAGTTCACGGGCGGATCGCTGTGGGGTTACAACAGGGGAAGCACAGAGGATGAGTTTGATCGTCGGCAACAGCTCCGGAAGGCCTACCGGACTTCCGGGGAGGAGACCGTTGCTCAATTGGGCGAGGGACGCGGTAAGTCTATTTGCGTCGACCATGTAATTGATGTGACGCCTTGCTGACATGTTCCAGGCGTCTACGGCCCCGGATATGCGGAGCGACGACGAGAGAGAATCAAGGAGGCGTATGGCATCGATGTTCCCACAACTCAGGCCCCGGCCTCATGAATATAATCCGGTCTGAAATCATGTTCTTCCGTTCTGCCCGTTTCCCGTCCGTCTCTTTTGTGTAAAACCACCCTTATATCATGTCAATTGCCATTCCGCGGCATAACTACCAATAAAGATTTCTTTTTTTTTTTCTCTCTCCTTAGTATTCCTCCATACACGGTCAGGCATGGCGGAGCATGGGTCAAGTGCCAGTACATCTCCCAAACATACGCACAATTTATCTACAATTCCCAAAAGAAAAAGGAGACCTGGCCTGTCCCATAGCAGCACAGTGCAAACTCGGTGAACGACGGCTTTCACAATCTGATCGCAGTACGTCAGAGTATCTGCGAGGGGGAGAGTGGACCATCTGCAGGCCAGTAGCAAGGACTTGGTGGGTATGATTAGGGGTCTGGCTGTGCGTTTTGACCGCGTCTATGTTCCTGTAAGAGATAGCTATGATGCAGATATCTATTCTAATTTACTGGAGTCGGTCAAGACCTTCCACCATGATCTACACCTCCCAGCGTTGCTGATACCGTTGGAATCCAGGTGGGTGCTCCCGCCAATCAGGGGTCGCGGTTATCAAATCATCGGTGATGAGTAAGCCCGACATTGTTATTGTTGCCTCAGGCACAATATCCCCAAGGACTCCGTACTCCGTACTCGTATAGATTGAAGCAGGAGCTACCCTTGTGAGAAATGTTTGAGATATATTCCGTACATGGCATATATTAATTACCCACCTTGTACGGAGTATAGTGCAAACCCATTACCCCGGGCCAGCGACAACAACCCCAGAGTTTACCTAACCAACCAATCTAATTTGATTCTCCAGAGGGCACTTCATAGGCTCGGTCAATCTATTGGGCCCGATTATTCAAGGACGCAGGGGAATGGAGCACATATGATATCACCTGCTGGTAGGGGTAAATCTCGGGTGTTAATTTCAGATGGAAGAGCCCATTGATCGATCTATGAATGGATTAGGACATCCAGCATTCATCGTCTCCAGACCCAGACATTGAAGGGTGAGGGATGTGGATGTGGATGTGGATGTGGTTCTGAAAGCCGGGTCTACTCTGGAGTCAAAAACACAATGATGATGCGCTTGACTTTCGGCTGGGATGGGGCCAAGACAAGGAGGCTGCCCTGGGAAATCTATCCACGGATCGCAATGGCTTCTTCAGGTCGATGGTATCATTATCATGGGTTGGTTCCCTACCCGACATGCCCGGGATGACGTTCGATCTTGAATAAGATGTGCGGACAAAGAGCATCGTGAGCTGAATCATGGAAACCTAAATATATCCATCCATCGCCATTGTCAACTGAACTGGGGCTTGAGCCCTCCCCTGATACTATTCGACATAATCCTGTGAGGCATGGTGGTTACCTAGTTGATCGGCGTTCGAAGAAAGATGAACAGTGCATGACGTTGAGAATCTTGGTATTCCCAAAGAGGAAAAAGTGCCACTGTCAATCAAACGAACGCTTCTCCTTTTTCTTACTAACGGTATTAGCTTATTTTACTATTTTATTATTAATTTGGGGGGGAAGAACAAGTCGCCACTGGGCTGGAAAGCAAAAAAAAGACAGGAGGGGAAAAGGGGGACTCCATCGAAGACGAGCAGAACGATTTGTGCCGACGCTAGAAGGATGATTTACTCGATGATGAGGACTTGGGGGATCCATCCATCCATTCCTTGAACCCAGAGCAATGGATGATTGGATTGGATTGGATTGGAATGGAATGGATCCTCCATGGGTCCGACTCCTCGCCCCAGTTCTTTTCAGTCTCCCGCCAAGACGCCTCCACAGCCACATAGTTTTTTTATTACGGGTGGTAATAATGGAGGGCTTCGGTACTTATGCAGGTTCTACCTTATACTGGTCTTGTTGTGCTTTGCCTATACTTGTACTTGTACTTGTGCTTGTGCTTGTACAGTACTGGGACATGCTTGCACAGCCTAACGTCCAGTTTGCTGCTGGCTGGTGCCCAAGGGGCTGTGATGAACGACGCGGTGGCTAGGCATGTCTACCTAGTACGGGGTCTTACAGCATATCAATACCTGCTACCAGGTATAACTAGCCACCTCTGTAACTAGAGATCGAGAATATTGCAAGCAATGGTTACTATTCATTGCTATAATTAACTACAACGTGTAGGTAATAAGGATAAAACATCATTTCCTTTAGATTATCCCACGCCAGAATCATTCAGTATGACAAACTAGTAGCAGTTAGTGAGCATCCTAATTATACCACCTTGTAAGAAACAATCCAGAAAAGGGGGGGAGACGTTGTAAAATACATTCTATCAATACATGCCCGGTTTCGGTACTCCTGCCACCGGCTTCTCACCTATCGAGCACTAGAGAAATACCAATCTAGATATGACTTCTACTCTTTTACTATCCTATCTATCTGTATAGCTCATTTGCAACTGAACTCACTCTCGACCATTGATTCCAATCGTGAAGAATCACAACAACCATTAGAAACTGCCCACTTCTCTCCCGGAGATTCCGTTCCATCGGAAGTCATTGGTGATCCGTCCTACCGTCGCATCCCAGAGCTTAAAGGGTTAAGCTGGCGTAGACGTCATCCGCAAGCGTCAGTCCAGTGGTTATCACCAAATCCAAGGATCGATCTCCTCTACCCCTCATCAAATGCTCCTCTTTATCTGGTTCGATCGCTCTTGAAGAGAGAAAACTTCTCCTCTATCCATTGTTTTGTCTTCTCTTCCTCTTTAACCATCAACCCGCGGAGATATCCCCCCTATACCTCCCTCCCTCTCTCTCTCTCTCTCTCTCTCTCTCTTGATCCTCCCTATATCATTTTAGTGGCTCTTAGACCGGTGGGGCTACAAGATTAACCCTCCCCGAGACTTGTCCACGATCGGCTCCTGGATCGTTTTCTTCCATAACCATACGGTAATCTCCTATAGTGGTCGGGTGGGAGGTAGTCCTATCCTATACTACTGTCTATCTATCTATCTATCTATTACGACAGCCACTCAGTGGGTGACGACTACTGCAATTAAGGAGTCGACATTCTGTCTAGTCCCCTCCGCAACACCAGTCGAGACACAGCTCTCGGATCTTGTTCGCTGGGTGACCAGCTAACAGCTCCAGCTGGAAGGAACTACATCAGTACATCAACTAAATCAACTAAATTAGGCCTGGTTTTCTCCGATCGGAATCAGGTCTGGAATCGTCCTTTTTCTAACCGTCTCCTTTTTTTATTATTATTATTATCATTTTCCCTTTTTTTTTTTTTTTTT